CGGGGCACGGCGTGGGCAGCAGCGCGACGGGGCAGGGCGGCTCCCCCGCGCCCCCCGCACACGCGTGGCCCCCTCTCCTCCCACCCGCTGCAGAGGCACACGCACCCCGCCAACACCCCGCACGCAGACACGCGCGGTCTCAGGTACCAGCCCCGCCCCGGGGGGATGCGGGCACCCAGCAGACCCCACGGGGAGCCCTCCCCACGCACCCCTCGCACGGACACAAGCAGCGCACCCACCGCCCCGCAACCCGACACCAGGCTGTGAGGTCCTGGACCCAGCTGGAAGACCCTGCGAGCCAGAGAGTTCACTCGTCGCCGCCGGGGCTGCCAGACGAGGTCACCGTGAAGTTTAGCCCGAGGGGATATTGTGGAAGTAAGAGAAGTTTGCAGGATTTGACCCCCTCCGTGCAAAAAATGCAGACGGCATCTCGGAAAATCCCACACGTCTGCTGGCCTGGGAGGCTGGGGGTCAGTAAAAAGAGAATGGAATAAGGCTTTGCTCCCTATAGTGTCTGAGCTGTGCTTTAAGGCAGGCTGGAAAAGGAATGCTCTTCCCTCACCCTGTCACTTGCCCTGTGGTGTCTAGTTTTCAGCATCTAAATTCTCTGCAACCAGAAGAACAAAACCCAGGTCTTCCCCAGCCCTGGTCTGGGCCTTCGCTCCATCCCCTGCACAAGCCACCTCTCCTTCAGTGCAACAAAGCATTCCTAGTCTCATACGCTTCAGGAGAAAACTGTGGATTAAAAAGGCAAATTAGCTTGCATAAGGGAAATCCAAGCCCCGAACAGAAACACAGAAGCTGGAGATATAAAAAAAAAAAAATCCCTCTCGGGAACCAATCATCCTGGTAAATTCTTCTCCTGAAGGGAATTTGGGCAGTACTGCAGCTTGCAACCCTTTCTGGTTGCAAACACCCTGGCTGGTTTGTCTTCCAAAGTTACAGCTCATGCGCTCTCTTATTTTTTGATCAGTTATTAAAATAGTAAGCAGAAACACAGGAAAATGTGGGAACTCTTCCACTTGATCTGCCACGTGGCCATGAAGAGGTCTGCTGAACACACCTCCCGCTTCTTCTTCCAAGCAAACCACTTGCAATTCATTTGCTGCATCTTTTTGCATCCCAGTGCCAGTGCACCCCCTTAAACCAGGAAATTACCTCTCAGAAATGCCTTCATCGTGACAGAAACTGCTCTTCTAGCAGAGCCACATCTCCTCTGGGAGTGGGGAAAATGAGCTGAGAAAATAAGTGGCCCAAATTGATGGCATTTTCCCTATTCTAAAAGGTCTGGGTGAAAGAACCCAGCTCTAACCAGCCCAGCTGAGGCTGTAGCTGAGGTCTGCATGGCTGGCTCATTTCGGAGGTTGGTAAACTTCCCCACATTCAAGCATATGAATTCCATACCTGGAAGTTTAAAAAGAGCCTCTGCTTTTTCCAATAAGAGTGCTATCACTTTCTGATAGCTGAGGTGCTATAATTTTCTAAGCATGAATCAGGGATGCCTTAGGGAAAGGAAAACCAGATTCAAAATCCACCTGAGGTTCACACTGGTGGAGCACTGGACCTGCTAAGTGAACTGTCCTGAGATACTCACCCCAGGAAGAAAAACCTTTCCCATACCAGAGGCCTTGGGATTATGGTATAATGAAATTTTTTTTTTTTTTTTCTAGTAAAGGCAGCCTCTCTATGTCCAAAGATTTCAGTGGAAACTTGAAATACCTCACATTTTAATAAAACAATTGTTCTTTAAGGTCTAAGGCCAAGCATGGCAGCTTTCTGCATGGCTGTAAAATCCTGTAGCTCCCCCAGTACAGTATTCACTGTTGTTCATTTTAGGTATTTTCTCAATGGCCAAGAGAACTTGTGATAAAGATGCCCTCTCAAGTGAAAAGCAGTACACAAAGCCCACTAAGACACGACCAGATGTCCTGACCAGCCACATGTCTTCCAACATATTGTTTTCCAGAATGCTGAGTCAGCAACAAGACACATGGCTCGAAGCATCCCTGATGTCCTGATGGCATAGAGGGAAACTTCAGGCCAACTGGAGCTTCAAGCACCATCCCTTGCTAGCAGAAGTGAGACCATCACCAAGTCTTGTTTTCAGCATGTCAGCTGGAAGAGAAACCCATCCAAAACCAGGAAAACAGGCATAAACCAACAGGCAATTTCTCTGTGGGCAGACAAAAAAGACAAAACACTCTGGATATGGGTTCAGCATTGCTCACAGCCAGCAAAGCTGCCCAGTTCCCAAGAATTCTAGTAGCAACACTGCTATTCCCTCCAGGGGATTTGAAAAAGAACAAAAACCAAGACCAAAAGAACCAGTAAAACATGTGACACCTTTTATCAGTTATGCTCCACACTGTGTGATTGAAAAAATCCACCTCACTATAT